GAGAACATGCAAACTCCACGCAGAAAGATTCCGGTGCCCCCACCGGGACGCGAACCAGCAACCTTCTTGCTGCGAGGCAACAGTAATATTATAATATTGAAATATAGTAAATAATAATAACAATAATAATAATAATAATAATACTAAACAAAAACAACAAAAAAATACGAATTCATTTTAAATATGGAACTGCTAGACAGTGCCCCTGTCATTGTACAGTATTTACACTGGAGGCCTCAGGTTTTTACATCACACTTAGTTGCATATTGACCCACAAGTGGCTCTCTAACTAGTTTTGACGTCACAAATTATGCTTGTACCTTTGAAGCTGAGATTATAAGTAAACACAATGAAACCTTCCCTCTGGAACAGACAAATATGAAAACTGGCTTATAGATTCAAACTCTGCAAAACTCTGTCAGGCACAAACATCCAGGGAAAGAAACAATAATATATAGGATCGAAATGGTGAACAGATCTTGAGAAACCTAATTAAGACCCAGTAGGGTTCAAACACTGTCTGTTGTTTAATAAATATCTGATTTTTAAAATGAATAAAAAGCTCAATAGGCATTACAGTACACAGTGCCATAACATACCAAACCTGCTTAAAATGGAATTCATAATCTGACAAAATAATCTGGACTGGAATCTTCACCAAAACATATGGTTTTCCACATGGTTTTAATAAAAGTTTTACAGATGAACAAACAGGTCTGAAAACATTACTTGGTGCAAAAAAGGCTTTCAAAATTGGTCACTTTCCACTATCCCATAATATAAAACTTGTGAAGGAAAACTAAGAATCAAATCAAACAATATCAACAAGGTGACATGTATTTAAATTAAAACAGTAAACTTTGTAATTGGTAGGCACGAGGGAAAACATTTCTTAAGGCACTTTTTATGAGACAAAGACAAAAACGATAACAGAGCTCCTACAGCTTTAACAATTTTTTTTTTTTTTACACATAAATTAACTAGGCTTACAGTACACATAAGTAATGCTATGAAATATGTAAAACTAACATTCAGAAACAATGCCTCTTTGGTTTCTATCTGTGCACCACATTTTTTACTGTAATTGCTGGATATCAAGATGAAAATCCAAAATGGTCCCACTGGTAAGACAAACTAGGCAACTCTTCGGTAGATCAAGCTGGTTCATGTTGTACTTCTATAAAAATATAATAAATAATCTATGGCAGGTTGAAAGATGTCAATCTCATTCCTAACACAAGTATCAGTGGTGTTTCTTTTTAGCACAGCTTGTCAAGAGCAAAACAACATAAATGTGGCAAAAGGCATTCAAGTCTGTCAGACTCTGAGGAGGCAGCCGGAAATAGGAAAACTCCTTTAACTATTCAGTTGTTGAAAACACTAACATATGTGCTAATCTCGAGCTGCACTTCTGTGTCACTTCTGGGCTTCCACCTCTCTTTCTGAGGACACAATTAAAACTACGAGTTAAGTGGCGGCCAACACGGAGCCTTTCTTATCGGCGAAGAAGCTCTTAAGCATCATGACTTGACCAATGCCGATGACAAACAGCAGGACGGTTTCTCCGATGGACCAGTAGGTGACACGCTCCAGGAGGTGCTCTGCCTTTGTGCGGTCATGTGCCTCTCTTAGCCTGTACCATGTCTGCGACTCAGCCACCACCTTCAGGATCTCATGAATGGAGACGCAAGATGACTCCAACTGTAAGTAAAAAAAATGTTTAAAATATATAAATGAAAGCACAGTACTGAATGAGGCAAAACATACAGTGGAATATGGGTCACATCACTGAGTTAAATTCTTTAGACTGATCCTGGAAAGATTCACTAAAACTTTCCCCAACAATCTCAGCGCTTGAAGTCGAAATACAGCATAAACACTGTGTATAGTATAATACAGAATACACTATCCACGTCTTGGGAACTGTGTGTGAGGGCTGTGCGGGATGTTTTATTAACCTGGAAGTTGTAGTATTTATGAAACTAGTCAACATGTGTAACTTCAGTTTGTGCAAAACTGAACTGACTTAGGGATTCCTAACAAATTTGATTGCTTGGCGTATTGTGTGATAAGAAGATCGTATTAAAAGACTTGCAAGTAACACTCAGTCCATAGTTGCTTATGACCTAATTTAGAACAACTGTGGCGCCATCCTGTGGACTTAATATAAACTGTCCCATCACTGAAACCATCCTGATCATAATCTAGCCACAACAGTTTTGCTGACACTTGCTATCACCTCAAAAGCTAATTATTCAGCCTGTTTGCTCTTGAAGTGTCTCTTCAACCTTTAACCTTGAATCTAAAAATAGGTGTTGTGGTTGTCTTTTTGTCCTTTTTCCTGTATGTTTTCTTTTTGCCTGTCTTCGCTTCCTGAATGCTAATTTGCCTCAGTTCCCTCAATCCCAGTCGAGGGACGAGCACACTCTGGCCCGTCGAAGGTGTGCACTGCAGCAGACAGACGTTGACCATCAGCTCCTCAGGACTCACCTGGGTCAGCGCCGTACTTCTAGTCATGGTCTGCAGAAGCGGCTCCTCATCTCCGTGGCGGAAGTCCAGATACACTATTTTATGCGTGAACGTGGAGAACTCGTTGCTGAAGCAGACCTTGTACTCTCCCTTCATAATCGTGGTGTGAGAGAAGCTGTCGTATTGCTTCTTCTTCTCATTGTACAGGACGTTGTTCTGAGGGTCGGTGACGAAGCAGTCCACGTCATAGTTGCCTCCTGCAATGACCTAAAAGTAAAGAAAAGACAAAAACACATGATTTAACAGGACATATGGATGCAAAGATGGTTGTAACACTGTAACATGCTGCACGTTGACATATGGACTTTGCAATGAGGAACTGACTGACTGTGCAACCGGGTGAAAGGAGGTGTGAATCTAAACAGACTTGTGGTGTGAACTTGCAGTTAAGGTACCAAATGAGTACAAAAAATAGAGCAATTTTGAACTTTAAACTATACTCTATATTCGTTTCTGAGAACACAACACAGAAATCCTTCAAATTACAAGCTCCCACCCAAAGAATAACCAGGCAGCATCACAGTCATGAAGCTTTCAGAGTAACTTACCTGGAAGTCGATGTCAAACTTCACGTCTTTCTCCAGCTCCTCGTAGAAACACTGCTTGTCGTTGTCAGGGAGCTCAAATGAGAGCTCAGTCCCAAACACCACACAGACATGCAGCAGCAGCAGCAAACAGCTCAGTCCCGGCTGCAGCATGGTGAAGCAGAAGCAAAGTGCACAAAGCTGCAGAGACTCTTCTTCACTGGTGATGACAGTTTTGTAGCTCTGACGTGGCGCGACCACAAACACCTTCCGGTTCAGGTTTGTTTATCATTTAGCTTTAAAAAACGACACTAATGCTGTCAGACGTAAAACTTATACAAAAGAGACCACGAACAGCCTCCGAATGTAACATGAACCATTTTAAAAACAACTTAAAGCCACGAAAAGACGACGTTAATGCGGTAGAGCGTCGCTGTGAGTTGAACCAATCACAGAGCAGCAACAGTCACGCAGCTGAGGTTTCAAAATAAGGGCACGAGTAAGTCCGAGCATTTCTTAAAAAGTTGTAAAATTAGAATAAGAAATATTCGTTGTAAAAGTTAATGTAGACGTTCGTATTTTGCAGAAGGTGAAGGAGTAATAGGTAAAATGATATTCTAGCCGACTAAATATATTGCCTTGAAAGAAAAAACAATAACTATGAAGTGTGGCCCCCAATCAAAGTGTCATGATGGCACTGAACTGTAGACAGCATATTAGTGTAGCAGCTCATACAGGTGGATTTACTGTAACTTATTTAAGTTCTGTTTATTTGTTAGTAGGTAACATTATATTTCCATGGTGTCTTATTTTGAAAGCAATGTAAAGCAGATGAGACAAATTCAATAGATAGGGTATTTTCAATGCCAAAGGGACATTGCACTGCTTTATGTTGTGAAAAAAGAACTATATTTCCAGCAGAAATGTTGTGGAAATAAGGAACAAGGTTGGGTAAAATGGAAACTCTGAAGTTGCCTATAGTATCTAAAAATAGTACAGTACTGGAGTAGATATACTGTCTCTGTATCTCTCTCTCATACATTGTGAATCATTTTCAGTTTAGGAATATAATTTCCCCTGCTGCCTTAAAAATATGAGGTAACCGCAAACTAGTTAAGTTGAACTAACTAAACTTGAGAAAATGCTTGAGAAAACGTTCAATAAACCTAAAATATTATATTGACTGACAAGTCACACATGCAGTGTCCAAGTATAAATAGTTTCTTCTTCATTTAACATTAAAAACAAATATTAATATTTTTATTCAGAGCCAGTGCTGAGACAGTCAGTAAGGCTGCTCCCAGTTAGAGTGAGATACATCATAGATCTACTGGTACAGGATCTGAATTCAGTAGTAGTCTTTGTCATAGTTACACTTATGTAGATTACAATGAAAAGAAAAAAACATAACTTGATATAACATGTATTGAAGACATGCAGGAAATTCCCACTATGCCCATTTTCTCTAACCACTAAATAAAGTCTATGGGGAATTTAATGAGTTGAATAAACTCTCAGCTGTTCATTTGTTCAGCTCATTACTTTAGGTCAAACTTGCTCAAGTTTTAAGAGCCCATGATTTTAGTTTGAATGACAGAAATGAAATTTTAAGTTAAATTACCTAGAAATGAGCAAAACTGATATATTAACATTCAATCAACAAGAAAAGATGCGTTGATTGGACCTTATTTCCTTTATAATGTTTTACGGTGTGCAAATTTAGGACAATTCAAATATTATCTCTTTATTTAGATATGAGGAAAAACAGAAGTTCACAATCCAGTTTATGGGAGTGTGTGGAAGTTTGTGTGTTGGGTCTATTACTACTACTACTACTACTACTACTACTACTACTACTATTACTGCTGTTATTACGAATATGATAATAAGAATATCAATGGCCAGATATCCAAATAAATAAACAATTAGTCAGGGTTTTATTTAGCAGCAATGTCCAGAAGACCATGAGTGCAATTTATTTACTTTCTGTCTGTAGGACATGTCAGCACACTCTGACCTGCTCTATGTGAAATGAGCAGATTAGGTGAGTCAGGAGCTGCATTGTGCTGATGTGTATTTTGTTGGGCGTGGCTAAAATACACAGACAATCTGATGCAATCACAACAGACTATCAAACCTGGGACAGAGAGTGTGAAACTAGTTCACAACACCAAATTAAAAATCTATAATCAGGCAGAAACGAAAACATCAGATGAACAATGATGTCATACTTCAGTTGCTGTGACAACAAAGAGAACTGTTTAAACAGGAGTCTTATTCTGAAAATCCAGGGTTAATGGTTAATGTTACAAAGTTCAAAAGAAGGTAACGCCTTTTTTCCGTGGTTTTCCTCCGTGTAGCTGACTGATATTGTCAATTAAACTTTTTAATAATATCCAGTTAAGTTTGCGGCTATCCTGAAACATGCAGAACTACGCAAACAATGTCAAGGAGTTTGGAGAGAGACATGTGATCGCTCTCACAGTTACCTTTGTTGCAGGTAATTGCTTTTTTTCCCCCACATGTATATTGTGTAAGCTTATTCTATCCCACATTTGCTAAAATGTCCGTGCAGTAAACTTACATTGTGCTACTGAGAATGTAAATTGTAACGTAATTTGTTCCATCATGAAATTAACTGTTACTGCTGCTCATAGTTGTAAATATTTAAAACTGTTAGTAGAAGAAAGTGTTATTAACACTATTCATCTCTTTGAAACTCAATCCACATCTAAAATTTCATTGCCTCCATTCAGTATCTTATTTTCTTATCTTATCTATCTTATCCTGGAAAGGAAATTTGTTTTACTCACAGCTTATTCTGTCACATTAACAAGAATCGAAAAACAAAACTAATGACACACTTTAAAAAAAATGGCATAAACAAGAAACCACATAACCCAACATTTTATATTAAAGCTATCCTCTTATTAATGGTGTTTTCTCTTTCTGTCAGGGGTCGGCATATTGGCCTTGCGTAGGTGGATGGCTGGAGGAGTGTGTCGGAGCAAGGCCAGGCTTGATGGGAAAACAGTCCTTATCACAGGAGCCAACACTGGGATCGGGAAGGAGACGGCCCTGGATATGGCTCGGAGAGG